TACAGACCCAGACATCACTATGTTCAGACAAAACTACTGGGACACAAGGAAACTCTTGTTTCACCTGAGCTGTCATTTCACAATCTCTCCTGCATGGTAAAAAACCAAAGGAGTTTCTTTGCACTAATACAACCTACAACTGCCTTTTCTTGATACAGTCAATATATTGCAAACTGCGGGTATCACAGGTGCTATGGTAGCAGCAAAAAGTTCATTTCAGTCAGGGGATCAAATTGCAAAATTCAGGCTACAGCCAAGGGCCTATTCACTGGAATAAATGCTCCAGGCTGGAACAAATTACAAAATCTGGTTAAGAGAAGCAAGCACTCTCCCTTCTGTGATAAAAGAAGTTATGAGTATGTCATTTTGTAAATGGAATAGTAGTGTTTCCAAAAGTGCATGGATAAAAATGCTAAATGGGTATTTTGTCCTGAGATTAAATAAAATAGACAAGAAATGGGATCAATAAGGCTTCCATGGCTCTGAAAAGCTATGAGCATCATATTCTNAAGTGTTTCCAAAAGTGCATGGATAAAAATGCTAAATGGGTATTTTGTCCTGAGATTAAATAAAATAGACAAGAAATGGGATCAATAAGGCTTCCATGGCTCTGAAAAGCTATGAGCATCATATTCTGCACCCCTGGGGCTTGCTCTGAGCAGGCAGTTTGTAAACCACTTGGAGAAATGCAAAAGTTTCTGCTAAGCATGTAGCTGCTGAGTAGTTGCATTAATTGTTGACATTTTGGCAGGGAAGCTACTCCTCCCAGCTCAGCACTTCTTACATGCCAGGTGAACGCCCACAAACCTGCCTCCCCTTGTATTTCTTTCCATTGGACATAGGCTATTGAATGTTGGCTTCTTGCCAACTGCATGTCAGTGAGATTTGGTAAAAATTGCCTAAGAAACAAGAACATCTGCCTTCATATCATTTTCTTTGTACAGCTACTTCCCAGGCAGCTGCTTGGGATCCACATGTGTCCATTTACTGGATGTAAACAAACAGCACAAGGCAAAGGGGAGGCACACAAAGCACATGCTCTTTCACCCCACCCTGGTTTCCACTCACAGTGGGAGCCCTGCCCCTAAGGATGCTGACAAGGGCATCTGCAGCTGTGAGTCTGGAAGCAGGAGACACCCTGCGCCTTACCTGTTTCTTTGTCCTGGACTTCTTCCAGGTGCAAGTCATTCAAAAGATGCTCCAAAATCTTCTCAGGGGTCCCAGACACCACCACGTATCTGTCAGAGAGCAGAGAGTCCACTGAGTCATCCTCGGTGGAAGACTGCGAGCGGCTGCTCCATTCATCGTCCTCATCCTCCTCGTCGATGTATTTGAAATAAGGCACATCGAAGGTAGGCAAGGGCAGCTCTCGGTCTGAGAGCACGGTGGCAGAATCTTTCCTCTCTAGATGAGAGTCAAAGACCCTCAGCCGGGAGCTGCCCATTGTGAAGGGTTACTAACAAAGGCATCCCCTAAATGCTAAGAGATCCTGCCATCCCTGTCCTTTCACTGGGAACTGGGTCCATCTGGCTGCTAAGAGCTCTGCAGTCAGCTAGAACGCTGGAGAGGCGGAGAGAAGCGAGGGAGGGAGGGGGGCAGGGAGGGAGGGAGGGGAGAGGAGGCAGAGCAAGAGTGAGATGGAGCAAGAGCAGGGAAGGCAGGCAGGGAGGAGGAAAGGGGAGTGTGCCTCTGTGGCTGCAGCAGCGGGAACTCTCACCTCCAGTCACTCTCCGAGCTCCCCGCAGCAGGGGCTGAGCCACAGCACTGCACTCTCTTCAGCACCAGGACGCTCTGGTCTTGCTCCTTAACCTGAACAGTTGTCACTTCATCATCTTGCTTTAATTGTGGATGGGAGTGATGGATGGGAGAAGGAAAAAGGGAGAGAAAATTTAAAAAGGAAAAAAAAAAAAGAGCTATCTACAGCTGCATTTTCTAGAGCTGCTTTACAGCAATGTTTCTTTAAAAATTCAGAATAAATTAGGAATCTGATCAAGAATCTGCCTCTGATAGTACAGTATCCAGGTTCAAGTTCTATGGAAACATAAAGCATTAGAAAGACAAATATTTCAAAGGAAATTTTTTTTAAAAAGTAGAGGTGAGATTCAGAGCTTATTTTTAAAACCACTTGAACAATATGAATTAGAGAATACAAAGTTCAAATATTCAAAAAGCACAACATACGAATTGCCATGTGCCACTACATACTCTTTCACCTGGTTACTGTTTATTAAACACTTTAGTAACATTGGATAATCATATAAAGCTTACATTATTTAAACACTAAAACAAAGAGCAAGCCATATTCAGTAGTTGTAGTCGATACATGTCATGCTCATTTACTTCACAGCACGACCTCACTTCATTTCTGAGGTTGGTAATTTCTCAATTTTTTGTAAATAAAATCCATGAAC